AGGTAAGAACTATATAAATGAAAATTTTGTCTAAATAGATCTAATTATAGTAACAAAAATTATTTGTTACTAAAAATAGTCATTACTGTATATCATTTCTTTTATAGTCATAACTGTAAAAAAAGACTACAATTTTAATTGAACATATGGGTATTGAATTTTATACCTATATATATATATATATGTTAGAAGAGAAACCTTGAAAGGCCAATTTTATCACCAATTGAATCAACATCGCGTTGAATTTGTAGGGTATACTCTTTGAAACTGAAGTTTTTGTAAATGGGTGGCTTGTTACTGCAACTTTGTATAATGACATCATGGGAAGGACATAAAAAGTATGCGATTGACAACCTTTCTACTTTTTGAGGAGCAATTACTCGATGTTCGATACTTTTGTAAACACCATTGCTCAATGCCTGCATGCACCCAAAATCAATTTTAATGTAAATGTAAAAATATGAAGATATTTCATGATAATTACCCAAAACTCATACCTTATCTTCATTAAATTAAGGGAGATGAAATTTTAAAGATAATAATATACTACAAAGTTAGCTAATTAAAATATTGATAAGTTAGTTCTTTAAAAATAAATTATATACATATGTACATACCTGAAATAAGTCACCAATGTTGACACTAAGAACATTTGTAGAGGGTTTAACACTAACCCATGAACCATTGTCCCTTTTTAATTGTAAGCCTCCAACACGATCTTGGTAAACAATGGTGAGGAAATCACTGTCAGTATGAGGGAGAAGGCCTGTAATTTTATTGGGAGAATAAGGACAAGGGGGGTATCTGTTCATTCGAATATAACTAGAGCTTGGCTTACAATTGTCTCGAAAATAACTCGACTTAATACTACTCAACTTCGTTGCTAGAAGCTCTGATATTCTTTGTGCAAGGTTGTCAACTTTTACTGAATACTCTTCAATTGTTTTCCTATTGGTGAAGTACATTCAACAATGATGAGATAATGTGCATGTGGAATGAAATATCAAATATTACTACTCGAAGAAATTTTTTCAAAAATAGTTAGATGAGTAAAACATAATTGCATTCAAATAAAAGTAGTCATGATAAACAAGTTTTAACTTAATCAATACTTTCTCCTTATTAGAAATAAGTGAACATTTGATTCTAAGTTCAATTCTAACATGTGGGGGAATGTAATTTGGTCAATTAATTAAACGTGTTACTTAATTTTTTTGATAAATAAATATTAAAAATTCAAATTTCACAGTTACCATGTTCTCTATTCAACCTGCATATGTTACTCACTCTCACTTATTAGTACATACTTGATTTTTATGTTTTTTACTTTCTTAAATTCAAAATTCAAGCTCATATATTGAAAAGAAACTACACATCCCACATAGCAAACATATAATGATGATTTGGTAGAGACTTGATTATTGGAGACTGTCTAATAGGTACGTCGAAAAAATTTATTAGAAACTTTATTAGCTTAAAATATATTAACTTGCATGAGCTGAGAAATATATATAACTTTTGAGAGATTATAAAATAATTATCTTAAAAAACTATCTAAAATTAGAAATAGCAATCCCTAGAAAAATATTTCCTTTCTATTCTCTCAAAATTCTTGAAACCAAACCTAATTACATAGTTTTACCAATTTAAAAAAGAGTATTTTCTCCCAACTCATACAAACTAATATTCAAATGGATTAGAACTTAGTTTCTTGCATAGAAATTACATTTTTATGGGCTGAACCTCAATTTTATACTTAGCATTCTCCTTGCTCTAATTGTTATATAATATTGCATAAAAAATATATTATTTAGAATATGAGTGTATATATATAATAAGAATACGACCATCTAAATTTTACTAAAAATTTAAAATTCGTCATTTTGTGTATATATTATGAACTAACGATAATATATTTATAATATTTAATTTTTAATAGAATAAAAAATTTATTATTATTAAATTTAATTAAATTTTAACTAGTTTATAATATTTTTGTGTAAAAAATATTAAATAATGAATAAGTTTAATTAGTTAACTAAGCAGATTTTTTTTAATTTTAAAAAATATGATTGATATGTATATATATATATATATTGGTGGGGTAGGACATGGATAAGAGGAGGAAAAGACAAAACACTGGTAGGTTTATTTCTAATAATGAGAAAAAAGTGAGACAAAAGGTGGGAAATTTTAGGAGATATATCACGTGGGGCTTCACGAATTGTCACGTGGCATCCCAACTTTCCACGTGACAAAACCATGCCCCGTGGGGTATTCACTCCCAAAACACAGATAGACAAGCGTAGTACGACAAAACCACTGCTTTAATTTGGCATCACAATATCATACTATATTTTCTCTTTCCATCATATATATATATATATATATATATATGCGCGCGCGCACACTCACACACACACACATATATATATGATGTTGACCAATATTTATCACGTTGATGACCATACATAATTACTACAATGCTATGATGTTGACCAATATTGTAAATGTATCATTTAAATAATTTTTTCAAAAATAATATATATTAAAAAAATTAAATGATGATATATGGAACACCAAAATTGATTTAAATTTATAATATTTTATTTTTTAAACTGTAAAAATTAGAATTAGAATTTAGAATTTTCGTTTGGAGTATATTTAATTTACTTTAATTGTAATTTTTTATTTAATGATTAATTTACCAAAATGATATTTAATTTTAACTTTATAAATTCATCATTCATAAAAAAAAAAACAAAAGAACTTTTTACATTCACAAAAACCAACTTAGAAAATAATTTATTAAGAACCAAAAAGGGAAAAGTTTATATACATATACATGTATATAATAGTTGGTCTGATGGCTCATCAATAGGTCTTATCAATTTCAAAAGTGGTGTCATGTTCTTTTTTTCTTTTTTGCCTTAATAATTTAACTGTGAATAATTTGTCCCTCATGCTTACTACTGCATTTAACAAGGGTTAGATTTTTTGTGTTTGTTTGAGAAATTTCTCATCTGGAATTTACAGATGTTATTTTTTACTTTTTGTAATCTTAAATTAAAGATAAAAATACAAGTGTAAAGTGAATCTTGAGATCTTTAGCTGGCTTCTGAATTAAAGACTAACTCTGCAAAAATTGTATTTTGTTGTGAAATATTGGACAAGCACTCTTTATATGTATTCTTTTAGTGTTCTTTTGGGTGTAACTCTTTAAGTTTTGCTAACACTTAGAATCCAACAGTTCAAAACTTTAACGATAAACTTGTCTTGTAGAAAGGTAGAACTAAGGCTATAAGAGGCAAATACATCAATTCAAGATAAAATTTTGAATACATCTATTCTCTATTGAATAGATTTAGAGTTTTAGCATAGAGAAAAAAATTCGTCTTTTAAAAAAAGTTACGATCTCATAATACATTTACTTAGAAATATTTCTTACTTTTTACTAATATAAATTTCATATATGTATCTTTCTTACATAGAAGTTAGTATTAAACTTGCTTTTTTTAAGTAATATGATGTCTTTTAAATTAAAGATATTCATATTTAATATGTAAAACAAATCTCACAAGACCTTTATTTGATGAAAAAAGAATATTTAGACTTTTTTTTTAAATAGTCTAAATAATGTGATAGTGAATCCAAATGATGCCAATAAACTAATTTAGAAATCGAATTTAAAATATATTTTTTCTATAACATGTGAAAAAATATATCTTTTTACGAGACCTTTGTTGTTTTTCTCATAAGATGGAGATTTTTTCTTGACAATAATTGAAGCAAAAGCTAGAGGCTACAAGGGAAGATATCATAGTCATTTTTTTATCAAGTTCTATTGAATTTTATTGTCACTTATTTTTTTTACATTTTTTCTTCGGATTGTTTTTCGTTTTAGAAAATTTTGAAATTTTTTTTTTAAAAAGTGTAGATCTTTAAATCGTCGTTCCAAGTTTTATCAAGTAGTTGTTTCTCTCATGGTCATCTTTTACATTTTTCCTTAACTCAAGCAAGGTTTGATTGATATTATTCTACTTAACTAATTAGTTAATTTAGGTAGAAATGAACAAAATTATTTTTCAAGAGAAATTTTAGTCTTATGAGGATTGATTAATAATATAATTGAAGTAAAAACTCCTTGGTGGGTTAAAGACAAATGAGAATTGCAAAATTTTATTTTTTTCATTGTCCAGACATGGTAACTTTCTTGTTTGTTCAAAAATAAAAAAAATCAAAAATTTTAAAACAATTCACTTTAGTTCACCTTTAGATAAATGGTGAAAATTTAATGTTCATACCTCTACTGTTAAAAAAATCAAGTCTATTGAAAAATAAAGATATCATAAAAAATGAGATAGTTAATATGTTTCAGATCTTTTTTAAATGTTGGCTTTGAAGAGTTGACTTTAGCTCAGTTCTTAACAATTTAAAAAGCTTTAGATATATTTGGTCATGCTTATAATGATCACTATAAAGACTAGCTTAATTGTAGTTTTTTCTTGGGTTACAGTAGATTTTATATAATTTCATGGTGATACAATTAAAATTAGTTTTAATGAGAAATCTGAGTTAAATAACTAAAGATATTGTCATCTTCTCAAAAGTTTCAAAGTATCAAAGCTCTTTAGAAAATCAACTAGCAAAATAAGAGCTAACCAAACTCTAAATAGTTTCTTTTGATGCTAATTTGATCTGATTTCTACCTCCTCTTTCGGCAACATTTTTTACAGTTGGTATCCTATTTGATCTAATTTATGCATTTAAATAATAGTTTTAGAGTTGTCGCTAAAAGTGTTGCTAAACGGTAACTAGCAATTTATACATAATTTAGTCGTTTTACTAAATGTTGGTCTTAAAATTCTACTTCTACTACTTAACAACATATTTTCTGACAATTTTATGTATTATAATTTAAAAGTTAAAGAGATGTTCAATATTTTCATATATCAAAGCTTTATATACTCAAAGTTTATTATAATAAATTTAGATGCACTTCCAAACAAACCAATCCTAACAAATTAAAAAATCTCTAAAATTAATAAAAATTACTAAATCAAGTACCTGAGACTGCTGAAATGATATTGATCAATCCTTGAAATATCAGAGATAGACATGTGAAATGCTTCTGACCAGTGAAACTGCGTTAAAGAAGTAGCTTTAGGGTTACCCCAGCGGTAACTATTCGCAGATAAATTCAAGAAATTAGGTTGAGATTTGTTGGAGAATGGTTGGTGGAATAGTTTCTTTTGCTCGTGTATTATCCTCTTTAAAACGTCCTCTGGAATCCCATGATTTATGAGTTGGAAAAAACCCCAGCGAGTTGCAGCTTCAGCCATGTCGTTTAAGCAATTCTCGTACTCCAATTGCCCAGAATTCAGACGATCGAGATCGATCAGAGGCAGTTCTACACTTTCAGTAACAATAACATCATCCTTTGGTTTTAGAAGAGATTGATCATAATTAATGCTAGATCTCTTGTTGGAAAGGGCCTTGTACAAATCTTCAAATGGAGGTTCCATTTCCATCTTGAAACCTGAACGCAGGAGTTTAAAACAGCAAAAATCATGCATGGATTTTTATATTCTGAGATCATTTATAATATATATATATATATACGCTTTTCACCTCTCAATGTATATATGTATCTCTATTCAAAACAGCAACAACCACTAATTAATTTTCATGCCGAATACCAAAGGAGATAGCGAGGAAAGATTTTGGTTATGAAGTGCAATCGCTAATTCTCTTGGTAAAATCGTTAAATTAAGAAAAAAATTTCTTTTAATTATGCAGTAATATATACAAAGACACGTATATGCATGTGTGCGTGTATATATATGGGAGAAAACTAAAAAATGTTGACTAACTATAGTGAACATATGGGTATTGTTATACTATAAATGGAAGCCATCTCACACACCAAGTCACCATGAATTATAGAAAAAAAAGTAAACATTGCTCTAATTCTACATATATGAACATGCTAATTTACTGCTTTGATGTTAGTATATATTTACGACAGGGAGCTTCATTAATTTCAATATCATATATATATATATATATATAATACCAAGTGGATTATCAGCGGTTGTACTCTGGTTTAGTCATCGGTTGATTTTTCTCAAAAAGATTTGATAACTAAAACTCAAGCGATGCATCACTAGTCAAATTAACTTGAATCATACAGTACAATTGCCAAGTAGCTTGTGATCCTGGTTAGTTTCCATATATATGGCAAAACGCTCAGCTTAATTTGATTTATATGTGTGTGTGTGTGTGTGTGTATATAGAGTGAGAGATGCATGGAGACAGTAATGAAAAATGAGAGAAGGGCTTTTATTAGCTGTAGGACAATGAGATTCATAAGTGAAAATCATAAGCGTAGAACTTACACGGGAGAGTAGGTAGCTAGGTAGGGTTTGGAGGGATTTGGGAAAGAAGAGAAGTGGGAAGTGGGTATATATAGAGATGGTATGTGGATAGGGGAGTAACAACAAAAGTTGGATGGAATCAGAGATTTAGAATTTATGGCTAAAGCAAAGAACACGCGGCTGTATGTGTTATCAGAGAAAGGAAAGTCGATGAGAAGGACAGGTCGAGCACTTGCAATAATAGTAAATGATCCCTTGAATGAATGAGAAAAACCCAATAATTCTGGATATGTATATATATATATATATACATATGTCTATTTGTTAACTCGTACGATTAAACCCCATGGCCCCACCTGCTTTACCCTATATATGCATTTTCAATGAGCTTTCCTTTTCGCCAATTCTATTCTCTTTTCATGGATCTTTTCATTGCAAACTTCCAGCATCCTCCGCTTGGCTTTTTCTGAAAAATCAATGTCTATTTTGGTGCACCACTACCAATTCATCTTTTCTGATAAATTATATATATTTTTTATAATATTATTACAATATCTACTTAATTAAACGTGTTCATTTAATATTTAGAGTATTTGTATCTAAGTGGAATTGAACTACTTATAATGTACATTTGTTTTGTAGAATATAGTGTTATAATAGCTATATATTTATTTATATTTATGCATAAATTGTGAAATAAATTTAATGTTTTATATTCTTTATTAAAATTTTACTCAATTTAAATTACCTATATATATAGAGAGTTGATAAATGATAATTTTATTTACAAAATTTTCATCTATTATTTAGGAAGACGATAAATATTTATAAAAATTTGTGTCTATTTTTTACTATAATTTGGTTGAAAATTTCATATCAATATCCAATTTTCTTATAGTATTCTCTAACTTTATTCTTATTTTTATTCTTTTTTAAGTTCCAATATTAAAGTTATATATGAATAGAAAATACACAAACAATACAGGTCATTCCAAAAACAGAACTATACACAAGAAGAAATAATTGGTAAGTATCTTGACTATATTGCGAAAAATATAATATAAGAGGTAATATATAAAGGCTCAAAATATAATGAAAATGAGAATATTGAATTAGTAAAATAATAACAAAAATAATTAAGAGTTTAGGGTTTACATTCCTTGCGCAGTAAATTAGAATATCTAATAGAGTTACGAGAATATCTCTTTTAGTAAATTTAAAAGAATGGAAATAAAAACGTAACTAAATTCCTATAGAGTCAACCTCAGCTGGGCAACTCTGATGAAATGTAGGAGACAACTTCTAGTCTCAATCTTCTTACTGTTTAGGATCCAAATTTTAGTTTTCATGATCTGAAATGGTTAAATAAGGGGGGTTGAACTACACTAACCCAGTAAGAATGTCAACACTTAATACCGATACGGAAAACTAAATATTGGTAAAAAAATCTTAAAACAACCAATTGAACCATTTTCTTTCTCAATAAGTTCATATAATATAAAAACTTAAGTGTCATAACTACCCTTTTTAAGTTTCCAAAACTGGCTTATGAAGGCAATAATCAGAATAACAGTTTATTACACATTTAAAAGAATAATAATAGTAAACGTTACCTTTTTACCTATTTACTGGTACCTTTAGATAGCAAGTTCCAAGTCGTGGGTGAGATAATTCTTTTTATGAGTTTTCAACTGTCTAGATTTATAGGTTATGACCTTTTTGTGTTGCATCAGAACGTAACTCAATCCTAGGTAGGAAGCATCACTGTATACTGTATATTCACCTATTTTACTCGGTAGAGCTAAAACTGACGCGATAGTCAATCGCTTTTTGCGCTCTGTAAAGCTCCTTTCACATTCATCATTCCACTCAAACTTGACGCTCTTTTTCATAAGTCAGGTCAGGGGTGTAGATAGGCTTGAAAACTCTTCCACAAACCTACGATAATAGCTTGTCATACCCAAAAAGCTTCGAACTTCTTTAACCGAAGTCAATTTCTCCCGACCCATTATTGTCTCAACCTTCTCCGGATTCCTTAACACCCCATCCTTTGATATTATATGCTTTATAAAGGTAGTCTGTTCAAGCCAAAACCTACTATTATGTAGTTTTGCATATAGTTTTTTCTCTAAAAATCAGTAAAACTTGAGCCAGATGGTGAGCATGTTCCTCTCTATTCTTTGAATAGATCAGGATATCATCAATAAATACTATGACGAACTTATCCAAGAACTGCATGAAGACCATGTTCATTAAGTCTATAAAAATAGTAGTGCATTGGGTTAACCCTAATGACATGATCAGAACTCATAGTGCCCATACCGGGTTCTGAATGCCATCTTGAAATTTTCGCTGTCTTGATTTTTACCTGATGGTAACCTGAATGCAAGTCAATTTTGGAAAAAAACTTGAGCACCCTGTAACTGATCGAAAAAGTCATCAATTCTTGAGAGGGGGTACTTGTTCTTGATTGTAACCCTATTCAATCCCCTGTAGTCAATACACAACCTCAAGGACCCATCACATTTTCTTGCAAACGTGACTCCAAATAGTGTATGTATCATGTATTACGTACGGGTTGGTTTCAGCATCCTGCTGAGTGAGGGTATAGGCTTTACCTTGGATTGGAGATCTGCTCTGATTCTGATTTTGTGAACACTCTCTGACATAGTATTGGGCAATTCCAGGTATGCAACATATATTGTTGAGACGATAGTAGCGTCGGTCCCCATGGTCTTTTTCATAGTGTTGGCAAGTCCTGCTGCGTCCTATTGTCGCGGTCTGAGGAGGAGTTTGAGTCGCAGGTCCAGGTCTCTTGTTCTGTTGAATTGGTACAGTAGGTGTTGATCTGCGATATAGAATTAGGGGCTGAAATTGGCCACTGCTGGAAGAAAGATGTGAAAGTTCATTTTTACCAGCTGTGCCTTAGCTAAAACTACTGAGTAGGTACTGAGCTTGAATAAATACAGTTACTATCTGATCTCAGGACGGAGGCCCCATTTAAACTTACTTGCTTTTTTGCCTTCATCCATCATGCTTTTCAGAGAGTATCGACCCAACTCAAGGAATTTTCAGCCATACTCAAACACTATCATATCACACTGGACCAGATGTGCAAACTCCATCTCCTTCAAAATGCCGAAAGTGTTCTGAGAAGTACTCTATATTGAAAGCTATTAGGAACTGTTCCCAGATGACCGGAATAGGTAGAATGGCCTACTTTAGTTGCCACCAACGACTTGCCTTACCTACGAGCATGTAAGTAACAAATATGACTTCTATTCGAGAATTACCCTAAGAGTTACGAAGACCTTCTCTGTCCCTGCCAGCCAGTATTCAACTTCTTCGAACGTGAATACCCCTGTAAAATTAGATGAGTTAAGTTTCTTGTGCCACTTAATATAGCTCAGGTCCATCATAGGTGGAACTACATCATGTTGAAGAGGAACTGGATTATGCTGAGGAGGAACCATGTGACCTTGTGGTGGCACTTGGTTGAATAATAAGGGCACCAGATTGTATTATGGCAGTATTGAATGATACAGTGGAAGAGAAAAGTTGTATCGAGGTAGCACTGGATCTTCTCGTTGTAAGGGTGACTCATACTGTATCAGTGGTGGAGGGTCAGACAGCTCCCTCATTTCTTCCCAAACCAGCTGAGCAGAGACGAGTCTCTCCAGAATCTTGAAGAACCAACCGACATCTATTTCGAAGCGACCCATCCCAGGTGTCTCTGTTCAGTGGGGGTCTTCCTCTCCTCATGTCCTTGTACCTGTATTTCACAATGAATGGTTGAGTGTTGGGTTACATTAAACGATTCTAACTTTTATACAATGAATGGTTTCAAGAAACGTGACTTTGATACCAACTGTAAATACCCAAAACTTAATGAAAACGAGAATATTAAATTAGTAAAATAATAACAGAAGCAATTAAGAGTTTAGAATTTACATTTTTTACACAGTAAATTGGGATACCAAATAGGGTTATGAGAATGTCTCTTTTAGAAAATTTAAAATAACATAAATAAATACGTAACTAAATTCTTATAGAGTCAACCTCAGCTAGACAACTCTGATGGGATGCAGGAGGCAACTTCTAGTTGCAACTTTTTTACTGTTCAAGATTCGAATCTTGGTCTTCCAGATCTTAAATGATTAAATAATGAGGATGAGATATACTAGCCGAGTAAAAATGTCAACACTTAACATCGATACGAAAAATTAAATGTTAGTAAAAAAATATTAAAACAACCAATTGAACCATTTTCTTTTTTAATAAATTCATATAATATAAAAACATAAGTTTCATACCTACCATTTTTAAGTTTCCAAAACTGGCTTATGAAAGTAATAATTAGGATAACAATTTATTATACCTTTAAAGGAACATAAATAGTAAATGTTATTTTTTTACCTACTTACCGGTACATCTAGGAGTCCATAGGGTTTCTCTTACGTACAGACCTAATATTGAATTTATCAATTAACTGGCTGTCCTCATACCCTGTCCAGTAATAAGTGCCGAATGTACCACCGTCTCAATAATCTGTATGGTATAAGGGTGAACTATATCTCCAAACCCTTTCCGATATGAGATTTTTTAGCCCCATTCGACTAAGGCAATGTCTACTATTGAGTTTGCCCTATGCACCTGGTCCGTACAACCTTTCACATGATACCCGATAAGCTTTTTTTACACATATCCACATCATCAACTAGTCACTAATTATACACAACCATCTCATATTAATAGTATGACATGTAAACACACAATATAAATAATTAAGAAAATGTGATTAAAACATTTACTTCAAATCAGCCAATAGATGGAAATAACAACTAAGAAATCAATAAATGAGAAAGCAATTAAAATTAATAAATAAAAGCACACGATATAACAATAAGTAATTTAGGCAGTATAGGAATAAATAGACACCACAACTAGGGCGATATCATACACTGACCAGTTGCCAGCTCTACTGATGACCTGTATTCAATTAATTAGAGATTTTAAATATTTACAAAATATACTGTTATTAATTATTAGACTTTAATTTACTATAATGGGATAAAAGGGTAAGAGATTCTTATACTGGGTTGGTGTTTGAAACACCGCTTTTTCATTACATTTTCTAGTAGTTCTCGAATTTCCTGAATTTTTTCTGTGAAAATAAAAAACACACATCACTTATTCCAAAATACCCTAAAAATGCCAAAAAAAGGCATTTTTAAACTTCTTGACTGGTTTAGGGTTCCAGCACGACGATGTCTCCTTTTGATTTGGCTGTTTCTAGCCAGTTTTAGCCTATTTTTTGCCTATTTTGTACGTAAACATGTAAAAAATGGGGGTTAGGTAGCCTATACTGACCGAAAAAAGAAAAAAATCAAAGCTTTAACGGCGAAAAATTTTTCAGTGCGGCAACTCTGCCTTTCCTCTCTAGCAGCTAAGGGTTATCTTCGGTCGATCTGCACCAGAAAAAGATTATAAGCATAACAGTAGAAAAATCAAAGGGAATGGAAAACGAAAAACGCTCAACTGGAGCAGTTTTTAAGTCATGATCGCAGCGGCTTGACCAAGCTTTGCTTTCGATTTCTGGCTTCTCTTTTGAATTTTTAGCTCTGATATGGTTGTGGGGAGGCTTAAAATCAAATTTCAAACGAAAGAGGGGAAAATATTTATCTCTCCGATGTCGGCGGTGGCTTCGATGCGACATCAACGATGATAGGTTTTTTTCCGACCACCCTTCTTCTTCTTCTCCGGCGAGGGCATATGCGGCTAAGGTTAGAGCTTCCTGGGATGCAACGCTTAAATATCTCCCCCCCTCCCTTGCGTCGATCTAGGCCATTTGTGCAGGGACACGTAGCCCTCTCCCATATGTTGGATTGCTCTTATTTGGAGAATAAACCTAGATAGTACGATCGGATTAAATCTGATCGTTCGATTGCACCTGAAGAGGGAACAAATCTAGGTTGTCTGTGTGCGCGAGAGGAGATCTAGGCTGTTGGATCTATTGGCACGTGATCGTCTGTGTGGCTTCCCGCGTGGACGCGTGTTCACGTGTCTGCCACGCGGCACATGGCGACCGGCCGCGCTGCTGACGTGGCGGTTCACGTGACTAAATTTTTATTATTTTTACTTTAACCCCAGTTTTTTAGATTTCTTTTCAAATTGGTTATTTCTTATTTCTTCTTTATTCCTTATTTTTGAAAATATTTTGAAAATATAAAATTACAAATTTCATAGGAAAACTGAAATATTTCAAAATATTTAATGCCAGAGTAGGTAAATCAACAATCCATACATAATTCATCTTCCTGATGATTTGAAAATTTAACCAAAATGTTAAATATTACGTATCTGAATAAATATTTTTTTTTCACAGATGATTCTAAATTTTTTTTGTTCTTAATAAATTTGAAAAAATTCTAATAAATTTTAAATTTATCAAAACATATATACTCAGTATCAAATAAATTTATTCATATTCGTATCAAATTTTTAACTGGACCAAAAAATTAGACTTGAGCCACAAGGATTGAATAAGATAAAAAAAAAATTGTTTGTGGAGTTCTTGAAAAATTGTTTTTTTTTATATAAAAATAAACCTATCGATTTTAATTCAGATTAAATTACTTTAGATAAAAAAAAAATATTATAAAAAAATTATATTTTTAAATTTTAATTAAAATATTAGAAATTTTCCATGGGAACACTTATCCTAAAGGAGGTAAAAACCATTTAGCTTTAGGGGGGAAGAAAACAGAGTCATTAATTATAGCATCGTTGCATATGTAATGACTAACTTTTATATGCATTTTCTTCTAGTAACATAAGCATAGGATAATCTCAAATGTTTAGAAAAAAAAAAGAGAAAAGAAAAAAGAAAACAGAATTCAGAGGAAATAAATATCTCATTCCATTTAATTTGCTATTACAGGTAAATTATATATTTCATTATAAACTTATATCTGCTTATTTTTGTAAACTATAATTAATTCAATAAATCAATCTGGACCACATCTTCTTTAGAAGTTTGTACTATATATATTGTGAGATCCCATGACTCCATGAAAAGCATAACTATATAAAAATTTGATGTGTGTGTGTTCGTATAAAAGTATGTAGATATTCTGGGTGGGTCGACATCTTTCTCTGTACTTGTGTTGTTGTTGTCTTTGGAAGAAGCAATAAAGAAAAATAAATTAGATATCTATAGATTCTACCCATAAAATACGTTACATATGATTGAGCATAATTGAAATATAGGAGTCTGTAACATTTTGCAACGAGTAGATAATTTGTAACCAAGAAACGTTTGGGGAGGAATACATGGGTGTCGGCACCAAAGAGAGAATGCCACTTGTCCGATTAGAACAGATCCTATAAAAATGTCGTCGTCAAATTACTGTTTTTGGACCAGGTATAGAAAGAGTTGCTTTCATGGAGACAAAATGTAATGGAGCATATTATTTCTGTGCCACTAAATTTAGATAGATATTTATCATAATTACTCTTATGTACATGCACTTAATTTAACAACCATTCTCCTGATAATACATCCAAAAAAAAAAAAAATTCCCATTTAAATACAATTTATTTAAATTTTAAATATTTGTATCAAATACCATAAAACAGAGTAATTATCATGTTTCAAAAAAATTACAAACATAACAGTCACGTGACCATCGTGTGGCCACCATACTAGCAAATATTTCCTCTTGTTTTTCCTTTTTCTTCTATTTTTTTTTTTATCTCCAAACAATTAGAAATCGAATATAAATTTATAAAAATACAAAATAGACATAAAAACAGAAAAAAAATCTTTTACAACAATGCCACTCAAATTTTCTTCTAACAATACTTATAAATACAGTATTATAAAAGAACATACTGACAATGAGAAAATTAATCACGTGATTGTTATACTGACAATATTTTTAAATTTTAATGTCTGTACGAACAGATCTTCTACTATATTAGTATCTGTCTAATTATATTAGATATATTATTAGTGATAAAAATTTAAAAACACAAATTATATTTACACTTAAACATTATGTGTACTTAACGGACCTTTTAATATGTTATCTCTTGAATATTCTGAGTGGCCATTGCTCTTCGTCAATATGGCTCCAATGCACCGGAATTTTTCCCCTTTGCTAAAACTTCAAAGTCAACTTGTAACTTTGTTTTTATTATGTTCAGATTCATGACCTGTTTTTATTTTCTAAGATACAGGTTTGAATACTAACGTTTCTATGGTACCATCTTCATTTTGTTTACAGAGAATGAAAACATACCCTTATATTTTCTAGAAGAAAATGTCCACTAACCTATTTCTTTCAGTAATTGAACGGGAATACATAAACTAAGGACGGCAAAAAAGAACACCATAAATCATAACAGCATAAATCGAACATGTAATATCTAATCAATCTTACTGTTAGATGATTAAATAGAAACAGATGTTACAAGAGGAATTGAAGGCATATATTGAAGGCAAGTGTTTCTTTTTTTTCCCATCACTCGTCATCTTTGTATGGATATTCCTCTGGAACTTGCTTCAAAAGTTTCACTTGTAATTCATATGCGTCATCACCATGCAGCACATCCCGGATCCATGTCACTTCAGTCTTCATTGACACCTGAGCACGATTTAGAAAGAGAAACAAAATTAGAATTAAGCAATACCATCTCAAGAAGGACAAGGACAATTTATGACAACTAAGTAATAGCTGCGCAAACTCCCTTGTCAAGATGAGCAACAGATAATCCCGGCAAAAAGAATCTGCTGTTTCCTAACCCCTGTTGCAGATACTTTTTGGAGAGGACAGTATTCATGAACCAGACATCTTGTAATATAAGCAGGATACTAGAAGTCGTATGAACAGCATCTTCGTCTATTATCAAAATTACTGACAGATATGCAGGCATTAAGCACAAAACACATTTTTGAGCACTCATGACTTGCTAACATGAGGTGGTTTAGAAGTACACAGAGTATCAATTAACACAGAAAAAAAGGAAGTTTAAAGTTTGAACCATGAAACTCCATCATAGGACTAGCTTCTTCGGCATTGCAATGTGATTAACTCTTTAAACAAAGAGCTATTTATTTTTATGTGATACAAACAACAAAGACCAGTTACAAGAATACATGTTGCTGTTTACAGGACATTGAAACAAGAGAAAAGGAGACATTATGTTATGAAATTAAGAGAAAAATGTTAAAAGATGTGCCATAAAGAATACTCACCATCTCCAGGGCTCCTCTAATGACCCCACTCAAGATGTTGCAGTAGTATAGACCTTGACATGTATCAGGGAGCTCTACAAAGTCTACCAGAGGGTTATCCTCCAAAAGAATACTGCAACAAGTCCCATCAGCATCCCAATTGGTCACAGATGCAGTGACCCCTAAGAACATTTTGAAACCCACCTGATCAAAGAAGATATTTACGAGGATATATGAATAAGGCCTTTCCCATAGTTCTAAAAAAATTTACCAAATACGTCAAAGCAGTCCGAAAACACATAATATTATCCAAATATTTCAAAAGTTGGCAATTCAAGCACAGCACAAAAATATTACCCAGGCAACACTTTACATTTCAATCATAACCAGTACATCAAGCATGGCCTAGTTTCAAAAGATTCGTTATCTAATTTAACGAGTGGTCCAGCATGGGCTGTAGGCCCCGAAATTCTTCTACGAAGCAAATTGCAAAATTAAGAAATTGACCTCCTAGATTCTAACACAGCTCACGATGTTATAAGGAAGATAGTTATAGCCAAAACACTCCGAAAATCCCATGAATTAAATTATTTGGCATGTACTCAACCTTAAAAGACGGTTAAGATTGTTTATTTCCCAAAACAAGAATGTATTATCTCAGACACATATAAATGCATCTCGCCAGTCAACATTACCATAAACATTTGTGTCTTCTCATGTCTAAACATCAAAAAGCTGGCATACCCAACACCCAAAGCAACTGTTTGACCAAGATTCTACATCGAGCTTATTAAGTCCAGCTCCAGAATGACAATGCAAAAGAGTTCCTACAGACGAAATTCATGGTACAAAAAGCTGGCAATTCCTGATGCTAAGATCTTTTTGGCATATATTCTCCAGAAAATCACAAAGGAAAGGCATCCAAGAAATAAACTCTCACATTCCTTTTTTCTAAGATTTCCCAGATTCTTTATCAACAATATCCTTTAGTTTTTTGTTTGCCTACCTAGTTGATGAATGTATATGACTTTTCATCTATAAAATCCAACACAGATGCATAGAGGATTCTAGATGAAAACAAAACCATGCAATTAGACTGAAAATAGCTGATGAGAGAAATATGATGTCCTTTCTCCCTAGTGTTTCTTATTTTCCAGGACCAAATGTCTAACAGACTTTCATCTGGTAGAATCTGATCCAGCCAACAAGTTTATATGAAATATCTACCTATCTAGAAGCCTCAATGATTGGAATGTAGATGAATTTTTGGATCTGATGGCCTTATTATCCAAGTGCTGAGATGAACATTCTGAGGATGATTGCCCCATGAAGGCCTTAATGAAAAAGTGAAAATTTTCAGTCGTCCTTGTTATGGAAGGTTTCAACCATATTCTTTATAAGAGCTGGAAAGGTAAAATTGTTTCACAGCCTTAAATTTGGTGGGAAGAATCAGGAGATGGAGCTCAAAAACTGCAGATGAAAACTTTATCCTTAATGCCATGGGACGAGTCGCTCATGAACCTGAGATTATTCTCCTTTGTTTCCAAGCTGTTTGAGTCGCAAAGTTCAATTGAATAAGTTGCAAAATGGTTCCTATGGGGAATGGCATTAGAGCTAACGAGATAGTTAATGTTCTTGCTTGCAAGGTTGCCTCTTTGTCATATTAATAATTGGCCTTCCACTCGGTTATGAAACAAGGGATATTGAGTTACAGGGCCCTATCTTATCCGAACTGCAGGAGGGGAGTTGTGAGTCTGATTAAAGCAGCACTGTCTAATCTTCCCATTTACTTTTTCTCCTTTTCTTATTCCAAACAATGAGAGATTTGAGTTTTTATAGTGCAGATATTGCAGGGTAATAGTGCACAGCAAAATGTATTATCTGGTTGCCTGAGAATAGCCACAGTCCCGGGAAGATCCAGGCATAAGGTCCATTTCTACCTTCAACAAGGCATTTCTCACTAAATGGATATGGCACTTCCTGTCTTCCTCTAATGATCTATGGAGAAAGTTTATTGCTGCCAACTCAGTCGTGCAGATAATGGTTGGACCAGCAGTTGAAGCACAGGCACTTTTGGCTGTAGTCCATGAAGCTGGATTAATAGGAAATGATTCAACATTTTGAGTTGCACAAATTTCTTTGTAGGCAGCGAGTGAAGGATCAGGTTTTGGATTGATCACTGTTATCACCGAAAGACTGCTAACCTCAGAATTTTTTTGATTGCAAGGTTAGAAAATGCAAAGATTAGGGAGTGTTATGAGGTGAATGCAAGTGCAATCCAATGGAATATTTCTCTTCTTCATGATCCATATGATTGGGAGAATGACCAATGGATCAATCTTCTTATTTTTTTGAAATAAGATTAATCTTCTTTTTGTACTGGGTGATGTTATTGTACATCCGAATCATGAATATACGCTTGTTTAGAAGATAAGACAAAGTGGCAAATTTTTGGTGAAATCTTTCGGTGATCCTAATTTTTTTAATCAGATTTGGATTTTTTTTTTTTTTTTTTGAAATAATTGAACCATTGACCTCTCTAACCATACTCTTAATTTAGCACTTTAATCAGATTTGGATTGTTTCCCCAGGACACAAGTGAAGAAGACTAAAGCCTCGCCTCACACTGTGTTTTTTGCATGGTAAGCTGTGTTGGCGAGGATTCTTACCTTGGACAACCTGGTGAAATGAGGTAGAACTACACTTGACAATCATTTTTTGTGTTTGAATGGGTGGGAATCCCCAAATCATCCACTCCACACTTGGTCTAAGACTAGATGACTTTGGTATAGTGACCTTAATTTCCTTGTATATTGTTTGGGTTATTTGAAATGAGAGAAATAAGAGAGCTTTTGAGAATGTAGTCTTTTTCTTATATTAGAGATTTTTTATTAGGATCTTCAGTATCTTGCTAAAAGGCAAGCCAATCCAAGATTGGATTGATTTTGTAATCTGTTCGATTACTTGTCTTTGAGATCTTTATAATTTCTTGTATTTGGGTTGCAACCTCTTGGTGCAGCAGCTATATACATCTTCTCTTCTCAAAGAAAAGAGATGGGAAATTTTTGGTGAAATCTACCTATTACTGTGTGAGTAGCTCGACAGGAGCAGCCTTTAGGTTCCCATGAAAGCAAATATGGAAAATTAAGGCATCCCAGGATTGCCTCTTTTTTGGGAAGTGGCATGGATAGAATTCTTACCATGGGCAACTTAAGGAAGAAACCACAGATAATTGAGAAACTGTTGCTCTATGTGCCTTCATGAATGCAAATCCCCCAACATCTTTTTTATTGTCTGTAGGTTAGAAGACAGTGGAATTCTGATTTAGACCAACTTAACTTGGCTTCAGTTGCTTAAGGTAGGCTGCAGTTAAACGTTGAACTTGGTCCAGTACTTAAAGCACACAAATCTAGGAAACAAATTATGCTTTTATTCCTATGTCCATACTCTGGATCAGAGAGAGAGAGAGAGTTTTCAATTGCTTTGCTCTCCTTTTGATAGAATTAGAGTAGCAGCTCCACACGCCAGTAATTTGTTTACAAAGCATCCTATTTTAAATGGTGAGGTTTCGGAAACCTTACAGACATTTTAGTTTTGGATCTTCTGTGATCCCTTATAAATTGGGCGGCATCTTCTTGGTGCCTTTCAATGATATTCCTTTTATCTCCAAAAGAGAATAATCCTACCAGTGCATTTGCTGCTATGCTCAAGTCTACATGTCTTCATCTTCATTTTTGTTGGTTATATGTACAGATACAGTTTAATACAAAATATATCTTTTTATCTGTCAGCCCAACTTTAAAAATTAAAACGAGAACAAAAGAAACCAATAATAACAATGATAGCAACAATAATCCTAGCAGAGCTAATACCAAAAAATCAACTAAGAAAGGAAACAATCTGTTAACTGATCTGCATAAGCAATACTTATGCCAAGCAACACTACCTAATGGCTTTAGAGCTGTTAAGGAAAATGTATAATTGTTTGAATTCATATTAGACAAATAATGACCTTTGCAATAACTTCAGCGGTCTCTTTGAAGTCAACACATCTGGAGATGTTAGATTTTGCTAGAAACTCATCAATCAGTCGAATTCCAATATTATAGCCCCTGCAAGGTAATTGAATAGTCAATTCTCCATGATCTTGTTTCCTTGTTGTCTAATCATCTGAACAACAGAAGCTCATTAATAAATACAAGAAACACAAACAAATGAAAGTTCTAAAAATATCAAGCTTGAACATAAAGTAGCAGGCACTCGAAGAAAAAATAAGGTGTAAACAAAAAGAACAGCAAATTCAACGTCCCTACACAATCTGGATTCAGAGGAAGAGAAAAGCAACAAAGCCTATAGAATGGAAGTCAGTGAGAAAGACCCAAAAAGAGTACAAAAAAGAAAGCAAGGCAATCACTTATCATTAACAAGTTGTACATAGGTGGGAACCCCTTGGTGCTCTATTAACACATTCTTTTTTCTCTCAAAAAAATTATCATTGACACAATAATTTGACTCTTTATGTTGACCTCTTCTTTTGTCCTTGTTTTTCCCCTAATGAGCGCTCAGAATTCCTCCGTAGTCCTTATTTTTGCATGAAAAAAAGGAATAGTCATCACTGATGTTGTCAATTGATTGTGAACTTTGAGTTTGGCTTAAATAAAGCTTAGTTCTAGAACCACCTGGCTTTAACAACAACTTAGAAACTATGGTGTAATCTATTACTCAAAATTATAAGACACCTTTTTTAGTAGGACAAAATCTATCACTCAAGGCACCATAGGGATGCTAGTCCTAACACAAGTTAAAGTATCATGATGCCCCAAAGCTAACAAAAATCAGAAATAGCATGCCATTAAATCATAGGTTAAGAGAATGAGGCCATATATTTCCAACTATCAAAAAGAGAATTGGATTTTTTAAACAACCTCCTATTCCCCTCACCAAATAACCCAAAAGGGTGGTAAGTTAAAGAACGCTTCCAATAGCCTGATCTGCCTGTATAACAAGAGGTCCTCCTTTTCTTTCGCGGAGATAAAGTCCCATTTTCCTCTTTCTTAGTTGTGGACTAGGATACATCTAGGACGCAAAAGAATCTCATATTGCCTGAACAAGAGAATAAGAGAATGAGGTCTCCTCTCCATGATCAAAATTGATACACATTTTGAGGTCCTTCTTGAAAAATATATAGATCTTGACATCCAAGGAATTTGGCGTTTTAGTTTGCTTACTGACATTGACTGATGACAGATCTATTGGATGTCTCATAAGGAAGCAGTTTAAGCTTTTCCAAGGGATAAAGCAAGCTCCAAATACAGCGACTAAGTTTGCCAAGATATGTTTGAATATGAGATAACATCTAAGTTCAAGCTGAGAATTTTTAAGTTCAAGCAGAGATTAGTTAGTACTTCAATTGAATTTTGAGAATAACCATTCTCTTGGTTGCTCAATTCCCTCAAATATCCTTACTCAAAATGTAATACATTTACCTAGTAGAATAAAATTGATACTCGAGGCACTAAGGGGATGTCACCCCTGTACAAAGGAGAGAAAGTACATTAAGTACAGACCAAAGTATCTAGAAATCCAATAGCTGATAAAAATCACAAATGGGATGGCTACTAAAGCATATTTAAGAGAATGAAGCCATATATCTCAAACACTTTTAAATGTTCTTCTATTCCTTTCTCTCCATATAACCCATAAAAAGATTGAGTATAAGTTAAACAACCTGTCCAATAACCTTATCTGCCAGTTTACCAGCAGATATCTTCTATTGGAGCCTGTATAACAACAGGTACTCAATTTCTTTTCTGAAGAGAAGTCCCCTTTAC